GACTCTCACATAAGCACGACAGATTAGCATCACTATGACTTTTGATTGGTTTAAATTCTGAATACTTAGCTTTAATCCATCTACTTAGATTGCATATGAAAGTTATTTACAATATATATATATATATATATATATATATATATATATATGTGTGTGTGTGTGTGTGTGTGTGTGTGTGTGTGTGTGTGTGTGTGTGTGTGTGTGTGCACGCGCAAGTTCAATGCTATAACACGATTGATTCATAACTCTAAAAAGGATCATTACGTTAATTTAATTGTGTAGACAGGTGACTTAAAAAAATACCTCCCTGCTACAACATATGCATTTATCAAGTCCACATTTCCGTAGTCAAAAATATAAATTCACAAGGACTTGATAATGTTACAAATGCCGATGCACATACACATCTTCTTTCTTACTGGACTATATTTCATATTTCAAATTTCATATTATTTGGTCATCATTTTCTTAAGTTATATCTAGACTGCTTTAGAAGGAAAACTTCATTGACTAATTTATTATTTTTTTCATTTTATGGTAGGTAAGCTAAACAAAGACATCAATTTATATTTACAGAAGTAGATAATTATCACATAAAATAATTTAGGCTCATTTGAATATGGATAAAATGCTTAGTTTAAAGGGTTACATAACTAGGGGGTTATGCCTTTATGAACCACATCCCAGCCTGGGTCATATGCATTGGTATCACTCCGTACATTAATCAATGCAAACCATAAGAACAAAAGGTTGTTAAAACATGTAAGCCAGTGTTATTAACAGCCAAATAAGGGAAGAAAAAAAAATATATTCTAGGAACTAATGAAATTTCCACGTGTTAATAGCCTCATATAATAACAAAATTCATTTTCAGCCACGTTTACGAGATATTTCCGAAGATTTAATAATGTACTAAAAAATGTGTGTGGACTGTGTGTTTTGGGTTAATTGAATATGCTTAAAGCCTACAAATCCATCTTATCTATACGAAGACACATGAATAAATACTACAAAATATGACCTAAATATCAACATAATGAAGAACAAGAATTTACTAGTAAAAAACAAGTATAATTTTCAAGCATCATGAAATGATAGGGACTATGAAACATACTATATAATATATACATGAAGAGACTTGCAATTTTAGGTTTTGATACTTCACTCTCATCTTATTTTGAAAAGAAAAATGGTTATTGGATGAAATATTTCAGTTCATTTCAATATATTTCAACTGTTTCAGTATAATGGATGAGTTTCTGCTTAACTGTTTCCGTAGTCAACCAAATTGATTTAAGAAAACTAAGGTTATTTCACTTGCTAAGTTAATTATATTGCTTCAATGGATTTGTATTTAAAATTTCTAATAATATTTTTTTCCTTGAAAGATTCATTTAGATGTAAATTTCAGCAACACACCTACACAATTTTTAACTTCCGGAAGCAATAATAACTTGTCTTTAAGGCAAGTAATCACAACAAAATTACCATTTCCTGTTAAACACAACTACTGACCATGTGGGTGTGACCTTAAGAAAGTCCTTCAAGCACAGTTGTAATCTAGAAATAAAGGGCTCTCTTTAATGATCTCCCCATCACATTAACACAACTTTTAACTTCTCTCAATGTGAACCCTCTTTGTCACATGGCCCCAACATTTCAACAAATTATTCCCATTATACTTTTTTTTTATTTTTTAAACATGAAATACAATGAATGAAAACCACACTTCATCCGCAACAATTACCCACCTCCATTTGTGCACAGAAAATCAAGAATGGTCACTTAAAGGCATGTGACCCCCTATAAACCGCAAAAATGGTCACTTAAAGGCATATGACCTCCAATTAACCACAAAATATTATGAGATCCAAATTTCATAATCCAACATACTAGCTTATAGTTAACTTAATAAATTCCTCTTAGCTTTCTCGTGTGCCCATCCACCTTGTTCCTTAAAATGTGTGTCCTTGTACAAGCGAATGGCAGGATCCTCATCCCTTTCACCATCTTCATCTTCTTGGCTCTGCCTTTCTTTGAGTTTGACCTACAATACAAAGTAATAGTGACCATTAGACAAATTTATGGTTTAGAATGTAGAATATAAAATAAAAAATTTATAATTATTGTTTCATATATTACGTACATAAGCATCGTAACGTCTGACGAAGGACATCGATCCAGAATAATGTGGAACCTCATTCTTGGAACGATTTTCTTTGTTTTTTTCACTTATTTCCTAGGTAGTAATTCAAACAATATTACAAGTTAGGAAACCCAAATAACTAGTGAATGAAGTTATTATATTAAATAATAAAAAAACAAGAAGTTAAGAAATTGAACCTGAAATTTTGGTGATATCCAATTATCACACAACTTTTGCCAAACAGCATTACCAATACCATTGTAAGGATGGCGGCGTGCATTCTCAATAGGAAGATGCTCCTCAAAATGACACTTCAATTTATATCTATAATTCCTCAACGCACTGGAAATTCCCTTGTTTACTCGCTTAAAATCAATGTCATTCGCATATGCATCAACTCCAAAGACCTCTTTTATAATGTAAAATTAATGTAAGCTACAATTTGTAACCAATTAGACCAGCAACCTCTGATTTATTTTTAACAAAACAAACATTAAATGATGGTTATCATTACCTTCAAATGCTCATAGCAGACCTCTTTCTCAAAATCTGGAACATCCCTCCACGTTTTATACTTTAAAAGGGCTTCAGTATCTCGTGTATTAATGCCAACCTCAGCTGTCCATAATTTGTTATTTAAACCAACAGGTTTAATATAACCCTCTCCAAACTCTACTGGAACCGGACAGTTGTTTTCTTTAATTTTGTGCAAGGCTTCATTTTTTGCTCTTCCACGCCCTTTTCGTATCGGACCTGAAAAAAAATTCATCATCTTAATTAAAACGTAGGCATTTTACAAAAGAGCTTATGGTTAATTAATAATGAATCATAATTACCTCCTCTTGGTTGTGGCCCCATCTGCTCATTACTACCATCACCTTCTATTCTTTCATTTGTTGAATTCCTATCATCACCTAATCCACTCAATTGTATAGGAGGTGAACTTGTAAATGGTCGCTCAGTTTCAGCCCTGCGGGACCTTAAAACTCTACGCATTGGATCCTCGGAGGTGTCCATAATTTAGTTTACAAGCTGATATGAAGAATCAAGTGAAATTAAATCAAAATAAACAAGCATATACAGAATATATTTAGAGTCATCATTTCATATTTACATAATTGCATTGAATAAAAAATTCAATAATTAGAGGCTAATAAACCTGAAGGAAGTCAATAAATAAAGACTAGTAATATAACTGAATAAATCACATTAAATATTAATCATAAAACCAAAAAAATAAGTAAATGCTCAAATATAACAATTAATTTGGTTAACCAAATCAAAGATGCAAATTAATGAAGCACAAAATCAATACTTAAAGAGAAATTTAAACAAAAAGTAACTCAAAAGATAAAGCTCAGTAATATAATTCATAAAACCATAAAATGAGATACATGCTCAAGAATACAAAGCTTCACATATCATCCAAATCAATATCATCTTCAGACATTAATTCTGGTTCCTCATCTGAACTATATTGAATGTCATTTCCATCATCATTCTCAACATCCCAAAAGTCGTCATTAATGGCTGCTTCACCCCTACATTTTTGAATCATTTTAGCATCAACAGTTTCACCCTCCAAATCGTCCCTGTTCAAAGGGAATGGATCCATGTCCAAGTCCGCTTCTACAACTCCATCCACGATGCTTGGTTCGTTCTCTTGGTACGCTGCAGTGTTGAGCATTTCATTATGTACTCCTGTTTCACCCTCTTTTTCAGGTACATCAAACGAGCTTCTACTTGTTATATCTTGAACTACCTCCCACGTCCCTTGTAATTTGTTATCTTTGACATAGAAGCATTGTGATGCTTGATTTGCTAACACAAATGGCTGATTTTTGTACGCTCTACTGGCTACATTTACACTTGTGAAATAGGTATCTTTATGTACACCGGTACCAATCCTAACATCAAACCAATCACATTTGAAAAGAAAAATTTTTCTACCTAGAGGATATCTTAACTCAATGATATCTGTTAGGACACTATAGTAATCTTGGTCTTCTCCTTTCACTAACACGCCACTATGCTGTGTTCGTCGATTTTGCTCCCTTTCCTTAGTATGGAACCTAATCCCATTTACAATACATGTAGAATATTAACTTACTAGACTTTGAGGTCCACACGCTAATGAATAAAGATCATCACAAGTTGTTTCCTTTTGATGATGACGCATTTCCTTTATCTATTAAAAAAATTGTAGTGTTAAATAAATGAATGATAGTTCATTTTAATTAAATTAAAGAATTTTATTTAATTAAGTACAATAGGTGCATAATGGACTTACTTTTGTTTCGAACCAGCTCGAATATTCTTTAGCATGTCTTTGAGGAACATGGCGCGGATTTTCTTTCTCAAGTTCTACCTTGTGTTTTCTAAACAATTACATGATGTTAAAGATACAATTGTTTACATGTATTGAGAAATAAACTATATATTCATAGAAACTGACAAGATATGACATGCAATGAGCTACTTACTCTTCATATGACAAAACATCTTCACAATTTTGTAACACGTACAATCGGGCCATCTCTATGTCCGCACGGGGCAATATATCCAAACTTTGTGCCCCTATCGGTTAAACCACTTACTTTAGATCATAAAAAGTGGACCAATTATTGTTGTAGTTCCCCTCACTATTTCTTTCTTCTCTATTGAACCTTGTCTCAATCCCTCCAAAAAATTTTGAACAAAATGTGATGCATTCATCGTCCACTAAGCTTCCGCAATGGACCCTTCCGGACGTGCTTTGTTATGGACGTACAATTTGAAAGTATGCAAAAATCTACATACCTGTTAATCAAACCAATAATATTTAATAACAAACTGATAAAACTTGTCCCAAAAAAAAAAAAAAAAAAAAAAAAAAAAGAGGAATGTTGGTTTACTAAAAATGTACAGCACCTTTCAATCGGGTACATCCATCGATATTGTGCAGGGCCTGCGATGATGGCTTCACGCGGCAAATGCAAAGCCAAGTGCACTATAATGTCAAAAAATGATGGAGAAACATCATCTCTAACTTGCTTAGTATAACAGCAATGTCCCTTTCCATTGCCTCTAAGACATCCACTTTAACAGTTCGACAATACAATTCTTTGAAGAATAAACCAAGCTCAACTATTGTGTTACAAATATCTGAATTTAAGAATCCTCGTATAGCAATAGGGAGGAGACGTTGTAAGAGAACATGTGAATCATGACTTTTCAATCCAGATATCTTACAATTATTAACATTCACACACCGACTTATGTTCGATGCATAGCCATCTGGAAACTTAACCGATTTTAGCCATTCACATAGTTGCCTTTTATCATTCTTTGACAATGTGTAGCGCGCTTGTGGCATCTCAAATTTTTCACCATTACGCCTCAGGTGGAGTTCTTTTCTAATCCCCATTGCTTCTAAATCCAACCGACTTTTGAACGTGTCCTTAGTTTTCCCTTCAATGTCCAATAATGTCCCCAACACACTATCGCATATATTTTTCTCTATATACATATAAGGTAGTTCAAAAAAAATACTCTTCTTCGTCCAGTTAAGTTCAAATTCCTCACGAGTTCGCTTCTTTTTATTTGGTCCCTTTCCGAAACTAACCTCGGGTATGAGGTTAAGTTGTTCCAGAATATCATCACCTGTCAACTGCTTTGGTGGCCCTTTGTCTTCACTTTTGCCATTAAATTGCTTGTGATGTTTTCTGAAAATGTGATCTAACGATAAAAACATACAACTTCCCAAGTAACATATCTTACATCCGTGTTCCAAATAACAAGAACATGTTTCTTTGTTACAATTTGGACATACTATATAACCCTTTGTCATCTATCCAGATACCATCGCATAAGCGGGAAAATCACTAATGGTCCAAATCATTGCCGCATACATTTTAAAGTTACATTTACTGTAGGCGTCATACGTCATCACACTATCCCGCCACAATTCTTTTAACTCTTCAACCAAAGGTTGCATGTACACATCAATATCATTACCAGGCGATGTTGGACCAGGAATAAGCAACGACATAAATATATATGGCTCCTTCATACACATCCAAGGTGGCAAATTGTAAGGAACAATCATCACAGGCCACATACTATACGCATTGCTCATGTTACCAAATGGATTGAATCCATCAGTTGCTAATCCAACACAAACATTACGAAGATCAGCAGCAAACCAATTATGCTTACTATCAAAATCCTCCCAAGCTTTTGAGTCAGCTGGATGTCTTAACTCATTTGTCTCCTTCACATGTTTCTCCTTATGCCACCGCATGTCTAAGGCTGTATCCTTTAACATAAACAACCGTTGAAGTCTCGATTTCAAAGGGAAGTGCCGGATAACCTTTTGAGGGATTTTCTTACCCTTACCTTCGTGAGGTTTATACCTCAGTTCACCACACTGTGGAAAATTTTCTTTACCTACATTCTCCTTCCAAAATAGAACACAATCATGTTTACATGCATGTATACAATCATATCTGAGACCCAAGTCTCGTAACAAGCTTTTAGTCTCGTAATGAGACTTTGGTAACACATTGTCGTCGGGAAGCATATTCTTAAATGCATCAAGCATCATGTCAAATGATTTGTTGCTCATTTGGCTTGTAACCTTCACATAGAACAACTTTAATATCGCTGACAACTTAAAGTATTTTTTACAACCTGGCCATAATTCACATTGTGCATCATTTAACAATCTATCAAAGCTTCCTCCTCCAACATCAACTTTAGGGAAATCTTCTTGTTGTTGTGTATTAGTGAAGTTTCCCATTTGTATGTTATCCAACAATTCAAACACATTATCTACATTTCCATCTTCATCGTGGACATTTTCCCCACTAACATTAGCATCAATATTAACATTAGTGTTGCTTTGATGATCCTCCCCATGATATATCCAATTGGTATACCCCTTGTCCATCCCATAACTCAAGAGATGCTGCTTAACTTCTTCAATTTGTCGATAAGTCTTATTTTTGCAACAACGACATGGACATCGGGACCTACCGTCTACTTCTGCATGATGCCTAGCCACATCAATGAAGTCGTGTATGCCATCAAAATACTTTACACTACCCCTAGTGTGATGATGAATCCAAGACTTATCCATGTAACTGCCTAAACATACACAAAAAAAATAATATATATCAATTATAAACAAAAAGCTAAATATATATAATTGAACCCTACAATATATATATATATATATATATATATAATTTTTCCCTAATAATTGTCAACAATTAAGATTCAGAAGCACTGACAACCTTTTACCTTAAAGAAATTCTACAAACATAATTACAAGAGAAATACATTTCTTATTATTTTTTTTTAAAAAAAATGATCGGCAACTTACTATATAATGTCACCTTCATTAATGAAAGATGGAAAAGTAAAGGGGTTCACACTAGAAAACAACTTAGTATATATATATTGTATATGATTTCTACCCACTAGAAAACAACTATTTCACCCACAAAACGGAAGATCTGAAAAAGAAAAAGAAAAAAAATACAGGTCCTGAACAATTTGGTTCCTTGTGCTTGAAATTTGCAGAATATATATATATATTTCCTTGCACTGTTTAGTATTCTGAAAGCTGCCATCATTTCAGCTCATTCTGCACTCATGGAATTTAAAAGTTCATGTCTTAAGCTGGGCCTGTCAACAGCGTAAAACAGGTACCATCTATTCCCCAGATATGCTTTACACTGCTTATTTGAATTGCAGAGATGCTAGGCTTGTTCTCCATCCAAATATCGTGTGCGTGTGTATGTGTGTATAAAAGCAACAAACACTTGATGTTCACAAACTATATTTGCAGCAACCAAATGCTTCTATTTGTGTGATTTTATAATAATGAGAATGGAGAGTTAAAATATGTGTGTGTGTGTGTGTGTGTGTGTGTGTGTGTTTTTCAAATCCTAGTACCCATTTGAGAGACAGCATGAATAGCAACAAATGATTCAATGTTTAGCTGATTATGGTGTGTTGGATTGACTGGTTTTTAATTTGGTGTGTTTTAGGTAATACAAAACAAGAATAAATTATGGACTTCATGAGCACTCTAATATCTGTTCTTAATCAAACCTTGAAGTATATTGTCATCTTTAATTTTAAATTATATTATTGCGCCTTTTTTGATAGAGTAAAAAAAAGAATTTGGGAATTGATTTATTTAGTTGTTACAATGTTTCATGTGGCATTGAAAAGATAATCAATCTAGGGAATTAACTCATAATCATATTTTTTTATACCAACAAGAGGAAGGAAAATAAAGGAGCAATGGGGAGGTTTTTTAATTTGTTAGGTGTTTGTGATTAGAAAGGATCTTGGATTGTCTCCTAGCACTTAGATTGTGTTTGAAAGGTAATGTTGGGCCTTACTAGACAACAAAGTGATCAATTTTATGTATTAACCTCCATCAAGGTTGTTTGTTTACCAAGAAGACAATGGGAAAATACAAGATCGGCCCTAATGGCCTGTTTTTTTTCTTTTTTTTTTTTTAAAAAAAAAAAAAAGCCCAAATGGCCTGTTCTTGTCTCACTCGAAACAAAAAATGATATGTTTGGTCTGAATGATTATTTTTCTGATTCAGTTTTGAAATTGTTGAAAGTTTATTAATTTCTAATTTTAATCCATTCTTATGGATGCTAACTTTGAGAATTGATTAACAAGGTACCATGTAATGTATACTCAACATATAAGACAGTGTGTGGGTTCTAGTTTTTAGGCAGTTGGCCAACTAAAACTGATTTTAAAGTCAAGAATTCGGAAACTACTTTCAATTAGTGACTTTTATTAAAGCAATATCTCAAGCCTCATCTGAAGGAATTTTTATTACAACCATTTCATGAGTAATTATAATCATGCTTTTATACACACATACACACACACATATATAGACCTTACTATAACATGAAATAACAAATAGATCCATTTTTGCTACAATGCATTGAAGACACATGAATTCTGAAAGTTTGCACAGAATTTTGACTACCTTTTTTCTGAGTGGAAGTTTATGTTCAAAATAAAGCTGTATTTTATTTTATTTTATTTTGTATCTATGATTTTGACATATTATAAAATTGAAAATTGTCAATTCAAAAGTTTATGAATTAATTATACCCAAAACAGATATATTGTACTAGCAGAGATTTTTAATAGATGTTTGGTTAAAGGCTTGGATGTATGAAAGAAAAAGTTGTAGGCTGATAGACGTTTACAGAACCAATTAAACAACAAAGTAATAGGCTCATCTTAATTGACTTCTACTATACTAATACAATACAATGACCTAACCACTCAAAACTTGATCAAATGTTTGGGATACTAAATAAATCAAAGCTCCAAACAAAATGATAATAATATAGGTATCTTAACAACATAATAACTTGTTCATGTATTATTCTAAACTCATTAACAGTCAGTGAATGCATTAATGATTTATCAATTCAAATTTCTCTCTACTACTGAAATTAACATTTCAAAGATGCTAACAATCCTTTCACTATATTTAGAAAAAGGCCTATATATCTGCAAAATTTTCATCTAATACTACAAAATCAGACTTCCAACACCAGCAAAAAAAAAAGGCAAGACAGAGAAAAGAGGATTTAAAGTAAGTGTTGCAGATATCCATGCTTGTTGGCATTCATTTTGAGTGGCCAAGAGCAGCAGAAAGTTAAAGGTTTAGCTTATATATGGGTGTCGACATCTCCAGTCAAGAACAACAAACCAACCCACAACAGTCGAAAACTAATTTTGAAGTTTGGGATGCTATTCAGATTTCATATGTTAATCTAATATATATATATAAATAAATAATAAACATACGTTAAAACAAAAAATAAATGTCAAGAATTATTTACCATGAATTTAAACCCAAATTTATTTTACTACCCCGAACAATCCAAGCTAGAAAACCAATCAAGCAAACACGCAAGCATATACCAAATTATACAAGAGAGTTAATAACCCAGTAGGGCTAGTGCATCCTCCAGCTAAAGAAGAAGAAAATTAAACAAATAAAAGGCTTTAAGAAAACATTGCACATGGAGCTTTATACATCCACTGAAAATTTTCAGAATCAATCATAACTTCAGACCAAGTATAGAGAGATTCATATTAGAAAAAAAATGAAATGTTAAAATGTCATGTTTGCAAACTTGAATTTGTACATTTACTAACATTAGCCATAAGCAACAAAGAATCGCTTCTATAAATGTGACTTTTTTCCTAAATTAAACACAATACAACAAACAAAATAGAAATAGAACCCAGAATTCAAATTCTGTCAAAGTGATTTCACAGTGTAAAAAGCACATAATGAGTTTTTTAACAAGCACATAACAAGTCAAACTCGTTATATCTCAAACCTGTATTTTCCACAGCGATTCAGACAACAAGCCGACTCCAGATTTGTAATTTACCCCTTCGATTGTTAGGCCTTTTGCAATTTTGAAACCCGACAACATGTATTTGCATAAAACAAACTATGGTGAGGATCATTATACTGAAGTGGGTTATATGAATGTCAAATTGAAGATGAGGGTTCTCTGAAAATCGAAGAAAGAGGCAAAATCTGTAACATTGTAAAAAAAATAAAAATGTTGTACCTTATGATTAAGAGTGGCTGTTGGAACGATTGGGTCATTCGGCCTTTGCTGCTAGAAGAAGGTGAAAGATTCTATGTCTTCCGCGACGGTGGAAAAGGGTGGAAGAGCTAGCCTCTGTTTTCTGCAAGGTGGAAGAGGCGTGAGGGCTTGGAGGCGGGTTGAGAAATGAAGTGGTCTGAAGATAGACTTTAGGTATATGGGATGTAATGATATATTAAACGGCGTAGTTTAATGTATTTTGTAAAATAAAATAATTAAATATATTATAATTTTAATCGTGCCAAACAAGGAATGAAGCTCCAAGTTTTGACGCACAATTTTTTGTGGATTTGGGGACAGACTTTTTTAAGTTTTAGGGACAGGGTGTAAAGACCGTGCCAAAAAAGAAGGCTTTAAGGACAGTTTAATTGACTGTGCCAAAAAAGAAGGCTTTAGGGATAGTTTCTTTAGACTGTGCCTAAAAAGAAGGTTTTAGGGACAGTTTTTAAGACTGTCCCTAAAGGACTGTCACTAGAACCCAAATTTCTTGTAGTGCTAGAAAATTCATGCTGCCACAATTTTAAAATGGCCATTCCCAACAATGGTATCAGACAGGCCGACCTTGGGGCAAGGCGACCAAGCTGGTTGCCTAGTGCCTCCAATTTATAAGGACCTCAAATTTAGGATCATTATGCAAATATAGTAGTATGTATATGTGACCATAATTTCCATAATTAAAAGACAATGCACAATTATATATCGTGTAAATTTATAGCAATAAATAACTTTCAAAAAAATATATATTATGCCAATAAACACATCGTACTTATTATATATATATATATATATATATATATATATATATATATATATATATAATAAAACAATTTGTATGGTAACAATAATTTGTTTGTCCCCTCACATCAAAATAAAATAAAATAAAAATAATTTTTTATATTTAAACTCAAAAACTTGTTTATATTATTATTATATTATATTTACACTCATGGGCATTCATGGTTAAATCCAGTCTAAACAATCAAAATTTTAACCCATGGGTGTGCAATCAACTGTTACATTCTCCAAAATAACCTTGAAGATTTCCTAAAACAATATATGGTTTCTGATATTGATGTGACAATTATTTTCGGAGTTACAAATCTTAAGAGAAGCTTTACCAAGAGGAACAGAAAAGGTAATTGATGTATTGAATGTTATAAAAAGGCTAATTAGTTATTGTTTTTCAAATGTTTGGATTGCATATATAGTATTATTGACTATCATAATCACAATTGCATTTGCTAATGGAAGCTTTTCAAAGTTACAGTTGATCAAATCTTATCTACGGTTGGAGAAACATAATTGGAATACTTTAATTGACAATTTTGCATATCAAAATGCAAAACGATCACATTTATTTTGATATGAAGTTGAATTTTTATTTTTGTGACTATGTTGTGTTAGATGTCTTTTAATTTTTTATGTAAACTAGATCATACACTTTTTTTCTTTATTTATTAACTCGGGGTGTCCGAGATGGCACGAACCCTTAGGACCCCTTAACAACCCGACTAATCCCCGAAAACCCGAAAGGGTGCCTCCCCATTCGGGCTGGGTAAGTCACTAGTGGGGCAGCGGAGGTAGCCATAAATAACACCCAGTAGGACTCAAACCCTAGACTTTGAGCAAGCTCAAAGTCCAACGAGTAAACCGCTGGCCATATCCAAAGTTATAAAGTACCATGATCGGTTTTGTTTTGTATATTTTCAACATTAATATATTTTGTATTTATCGTCTCATTTTAATGAAAATTTCTCACTTTTATAAATTTTTGGTACTTACGAAACCTTCTATATAAATGGCCTTATATTTTAAAGTTCGCCTAGGGCCTCCCAAAATTTTGGGTGTCTCATGGCCGACTCTGATATCAGAGCTTGGTTATGTTCATGTGTAAAAGCATGTTTTCATCGCAAGGATAATCATTAATGGATTAATTTATTGTTTATATGGCATTGGATGGATGAATGATTTTGTGTATGGATGAATATCATTTGTTTGATGATGTTGGCCATGGATGGAGTCATAACAACTTGGGTTGTATTTTTTTGGATAATTGTATAAAGCTTCGTTTTCCCCTGTTCAAGACTGCATTTAAATCTTCTTCGACCTTGAAATACTTGAATATCATTCAACCACCGGTTCACGATCAAACTATCGTGGCTCTTGCACCGACTTTCCAAGGAGATTTAAAAGAGAAAAATTATGTGTTGTAATGGATTCGCCTACAGAAGATTGTACTATTTTTTCGAATATTTAATAAAATTGTTATTTGGTCACATTTTTGTTCCTACATTTTCAAACACGAAATTTGTGTGTACAACAGGTTTTAATTAGTTAACATATTGGAATTAAGTTTCAATTGATTTTACTTTTAAGGAAATGATGATATATATATATATATATATATATATATATATATATATATATATATATATCACCTGTGAGTAGATGCTCCCAACTAACTAGTTATGTGGTCCAAGCATAAATGCACACAACTGCGCACAATGTTTTTAATTACAAAAATAGGAAATTAATAAATAAAGAAAACAGTTTATTTCCTGTAAATCACATTCTGTATTCACTCATTCTCTCTGTTTTCCTTATTTATTATTTTTTTATTATGTAATTAAATGAGATATGTATATTTGTAAATATTGGACCATATCAGCAGTCACTTGGAAATACCTACTCACTTATCAGCAGTCACTTGGAATTCCTACTCACTGGTGAGTCGGAAGTATATGGTGTCCTATATATATGCACAGAGTAGAAAGTGGAGGTTTTTATGATGGTGGGTTTTAATTGACGTAAAATTATGGAATTGGATTTCAAGTGGTTTAACAAGATGAGAATGCTTTGGTAAAGATAAAGCATAGAAAAATGACATTTTTATTTGTACAGGTATTTCACACTAACGCCATTTCCGAATGATTTGGTAAAGATAGAGCAAGAAAAATGACATTTTTATTAATACAAGTATTTCACACTAATGCCATTTCCGGAATCTTTGAACTTTTTCTCTTCCTCCTTGAAAACGTGATTTTATGGACCCATTTGTCATTGGAATTCTATACTGAATGTAATGAATAAGCACATTGAAAAAGAGATAAGTTGATGGATAATCACATGTGATTAGAAAGAGATAAGCTGATGGTAATGGATAACATGGATATACATATAAAGGTGAACTAAGCTAAGCTTTCGAAATGGATAATTGGTTGGTGAAGGGCTTGAAGGCTAGATCATATTTTAACATTAGTTCGCGACTCTCATTTTCTTTCAAAGTTTCTAACTTTATATATTTTACAAGACTCTTTCTGCAAATCTCAAGAGTATTCAATAGTAGGAGATTTTGAGTGACACCAATGCCATTGGAAAGCTGACTTCACCATCATAATAGCTTATATAATGCTGAAATTTTAAGGACAGTTATGTCCACATATTTTTATAATTTTTATGTGCTGCAAAGTTTCAAATTTCAACAACCAAGTCATCACTCGATTTGTGTTTTGGTTAACACTTTCTGTCCAAATATCATTACTCACAAAAAATTAAAAAAATAATAAAAGCTAGTCTAATGTACTTTTGTCATTGCCAAATCTGAAGAGGGTTTAAACATACATAGCCTTAGTGCGCTCCGCATGAAGAAGTTGTTTTATGTTTCAAACTCGTGACCCGATTACAATAGAACAATTCTACTATTGTGCCAAGGCCCTACCTCAACTAAAGAATAAAAGGTTTAAACAACAAAAATATAATATATAATAGTAAAACAAAGGAGGACAACAACATAACAAGAAAAAATTATTCAATATCCACTAGTTAAGCATTTCCCTTCCTATTCTTCTCCTTGACTCATTGTTGCTCCTGAAGACACATGCCTGAAAACACATGCCTGATAGAAAGTGAATTCTTCTATTGTTTGGTACCCTTTTCCCACTACAAATGAGAGGTGAATGAATAATGTACGCATATAAGTTTTATGCTTTGATGTAAGTGGAACTGATTAGACATTCACAAGGAGTGAGGGTTACCTTGAATCCACAAGAAAAATAGAATTCTCAGATGAATTTGATATTATATTGATAAAATTAATAAATGATGTGCACAGCAATGCATGTACTTATAAATAAGAAACCCTAACAATATAAAAAAAAAAACCTAAAAATATAAGAAATTTTGCAGTACAAGGAAACTGCTCAAAAACAAACTTGCTCTCAAAATTATATAAAAGTATGGAAAGAAACCTAATTACCAAAAAGGAAAGTAATTCGAATCCATTTAATCTTCTAATGAGAATTCCGAAATGTTCAAAAATAGGAAAATGCAATTCCCGACCCCCAAAAAAAAAAACAAAAAAAAGACCCCCTACCTCAGGACTGAGGCTACTAATTTTTGCAAATTAGGCCGTTTCTGGTCAAATTGGACTCTTTCTAGGTAACCAATAGATTCGTCGAAATCATCTGAAAAAACTAAGTCAGCCCGCCCGCTTGACCTTTTGACAGTCCAAACGGGCTCTAACAATCTATTTTGCATCAAGCTTAAACCATGCTGAAAGAATCTTCTCTTTCTTTGATTGAAAAGATGCTCTCCTTGAACCTATAAACTTGAAGGGCACTAGCTAGTCTGTAATATCCAAGATCCCTACTGTCTAATGTGCTAATATTGTACAAAATCATGTGTCCACTCCGGGCTCTTATAAGAAGCTGGCCGTCATCCCAAAAACCAATGGGCACTAGGACATCTAGAAGGGGTCCCATTGTTAATTGTTTGGTCCAAAATCCCTCCTCCTTCATCACCCATATCTCAATATAATTCTCTAATTCATTTGGATGAAAAAGAATTATAGCAATAGATTTATCGTACAAGGCAAGTTCCCCAAATTTCGATTTTGGAATCTCTGACAGACTTGGTAAGTCATGAAAATTCTCATTAGCCAAGTCAAAAGAAAGGATGCAATAATGATGGTAGTAATCTTTTACCAGCCAATAATAAACTCCATTCATATAGGTGCTATTTCCCAAAGAATTGCTTACCGTACGCGACTGATCCCTTGGAATTTCAAAGAGTCGCCATGAATTTGTACATAAGTTATACACTAAAACAGTTTGGAGATCATATGGGCCATCTAAGTTATCATCCCAAAATTGTCGTAACCAAATAATCGTGTAATGGTTAGTCATGGGATCCAACCCAAATCCAAAATTATTAGTAGGGTCGGAGATATAGGATGGAAGGTTTAGACGAGGTAAAGAGATTGGCCTGAATTCTCTTATAGTAGGATTCCACAGACAGTGTTGAAAAATAAACTTGATTTTAGTATTTAGTATTTTCAAGTATTTTTATATACATGATACATGTGTGAATTTAGCATATATGTTAGTGGGTAGTAAATTGTCTTTAGTGGGAGTTAAAGTGTTGTAAAATCAAGAGTCATGAGAGTTACAACTAGTAATGGTCATTTAATGGGTTAGTAGGAGTTATGCCTATTGAAGATTATGTTAGTGGGAGAAATGAGAGTTATGGACATTTAAATGTAATGGTTACACATACATATATGAGGCCTATATAATCATGTACTCTAGTCATTTTAGAATAAGAATAAGTTGGATATAAGTGAAATAATATATTTTTTCCTCCATTTCTCTTTCAAATTATATGGAGTTGTATTTAGTTGTACAGCCCACTATTTCCAACAAAGTGGTATCAGAGCCAGGTTCCATATCAAAGCCCGGTTCCATATCAGAGCCAAGTCATTATCAGAGCCAAGGTTTCATGTTCAGAGCTGAGACGATCCTGAAGGCCTGACGAAGTTGATCCTAGAAGGTTCAACATTTTTGAGAAAAACATGTTTCTCCTTGATGATGATGAAGCTCAGAAAATGTATTTTCTTAGTGAGAAGATGATGTTCTCTAATTACAAGAGAATGAGAATCATCATGACTTCATATCTCAAAGCATGTGAATTGTGGGATGTTGTTGGATTAGAGCCAAAGAATGGCATGTCCAACAAGCTTCGTGAAAAGAAAGAAGAAAAGGCATTGATAGTGTTGCAAAAGGCAATACATCAAGAAATTTAGGAGTATTTTGGAGAGTCCAAAACTCCAAGTTGTATTTGGAAGATACTCGAGACCATCGTTTCCAATCATAGAGGTGAATCACTACCCATTGAGTATTGGGTACAATGCTTTGAGGATGATGAGTTTATGAAGGCTGATTATGAAAGTTTTGAGGACAAAGTTGTGGAGAATGAAAAGGTGTATCATGCAAAAGAAGTTGAAGATTTTGGAGATTCAAAAGTTGAAGGAGAATTTGAAATGGTGAATGAGGAAGAGGTAAGAAAAGATGTTAAAGAAGAGATTGAAAAAGTGGAGGACGATGAATTGAAAATAAAAGATTTAGAAGAAGAAATTGCTAAAGAAGAGGCAAAAGTTCAAGTTGGTGAGTTAACATTTTCTGGGATGGTTACAAATTCTACCTTGAAAGAAGTTATATTTGACTTATTTGATGAAATTATTATTTCTTCATATTCATCAAATAATGCTTATTTTGTGGAGAATGATGAACTTCTCTTCAAGAAAATTATTCCAATTAATTATGAGATTGAAGCTAAAGGCGAGAAGAATTTTTCGAATTATTTTTTACAAGATGGTTTGGAGGATTTTGTAATTGACACAAGTTGGGTGAATATGGAGTTATTTTTTTATTCCAAAGAAGAAGCACATAAGAAGTTCAAGAAGTTTCAAGAATTCAAGAAGAGAGAAAAAGGATGGTGCACCCATGTGAAAAAAATAAATGTTGATCATAAGAGAGCATTATTCAAGCATTTGAAGAAGTTTCACAAGCCCTACACATCAATGGAAATGGCCAAGAAGATTGAAGCTATTGAAGGAAGTGGATTGAAGATCAACTATCTGATCAAACCCCCAAGATTAATAACAAGTTTATTTTTAAGTTAATAAATCAAGTTTAAAGGAGGGTGTTGAAAAATAAACTTGATTTTAGTATTTAGTATTTTCAAGTATTTTTATATCCAAGATGCATGTGTGAATTTAGCATATATGTTAGTGGGTAGTAAATTGTCTTAGTGGGAGTTAAAGTATTGTAAAATCAAGAGTCACGAGAGTTACAACTAGTAATGGTCATTTAGTGGGTTAGTGGGAGTTATGCCTATTGAAGATTATGTTAGTGGGAGAAATGAGAGTTGTGAACATTTAAATGTAATGGTTACACATTCATATATGAGGCCTATATAATCATATACTCTAGTCATTTTAGAATAAGAATAAGTTGGATATAAGTGAAATAATATATTTCTTCCTCCATTTCTCTTTCAAATTATATAGAGTTGTATTTGTTTGTATAGCCTACTATTTCCAATAAAGTGGTATCAGAGCAAAGTCAGAAAGTGGTATCAAAGAAAAAGCCAACATACACATGCCATGCTCATTTCTATCATACAAACAATATATGCCATTAATGGGACCAATAACAGAATCTGGATTAATTTCTATCCCGTGTTCATCAAGATTGTAATATAGAGGAGGCGTACAACCAAGATTTTCATCAGCGAATATGCCAAAAGCAAATCTAACATTTTCCAATTCATAATGGTGAACAAGTAGACGGAAGTTGTTTTTGTGGTGTTGTTTGGTGATAAAGCTAAGGGTTTTTGTGAGAGCATACCAATAATGGCAAACACACCTGAATTTTAATAGTGATTTCACAGGCAATCTCGAAAGGATCTCTGTCATCACATCTTTCGATATACCATTATCACCGTTGCTGCTTGTCGTCGTCTCTCTCTTCATTCTAGTCGAGATCAGTCTTTCCTGACACATTAAAAAAAAATTAATTTGTAATAAAAAAAATAAATAAATAAAAAAGAACAAGAAATTGAGTTGTCTTGGCGCATATTGTCTCATCCATAAATATCCGCAAGACCAGTTACAGGTTTACAGGAAATTATATTTTCGGCATGAAACAATACACCATTAGATTAATATTATCTAAATCTGGTAACAGCAATGTATTTACTTTGTGATAGCTGACTGAGCAGATTTTTTATTTTATTTGTAACTCAATATCTTCTTTGTTTCTGTCTTAGGATAAGTTTCATATCTGTAAGGTCTTTTTAATTACTTGCTTTGCATGGAATCTTCGTTGTCAAAATTTTCAGATTCTTTTTATATTTTTTGGTAAGTAAATTTTCAGATTCTTCATCATTTGGATTCTTGGAATCTTCTAAATGGAGACAAGGAAGAATTCTGAACCATCATTCAAAACAATAACAAAAGCAAATGCACCGTCATTATCACTAGAGGAATCATTATCAGAATGAGAAACATTTTCTTTCCTTGATTTTCATACACGAAATTTTTTGTGCAGTAGATTTTAATAATGTAAAGTATTGGAATTGAGTATCAATTGATTTTACTTTTAAGGAGATGATGATAAATATAAATATACATAGTATAGAGTGAAGATTTCTATGATTGTGGGATTTAATTGAGGTAAAGTTATGGAACTGGATTTCGAGTGGTTTAACGAGATGAGAATGATTCGGCATGCAATTGTGAGTTGTGCAACGGAAAAGAATATGGAAGTTTGTATTAAAAAATAACCTAGAGAGAGGTGAATATGTTTTACTTGCTTCTTTATCTAGTTTTTAGTTATTTTAATTTTACCTGAAATAAAACTAAAATCAAACCCACAAATAAAAAATAAAGTTCAAATAACGTAAAGTAAATAAAGTTTGAGAGATGACACCAGTATTTTTAGCGAGGAAACTCCGATTGGTAGAAATCATTCAATCATTGTAGGAAAAATCTCATGGACTATGCCATCCACAACAATTAAACGATCTACTATGTTTCAAGCAAAGTACATCTCACTTTGACTCAGGTTCATACCCCTTTACTCTACTAAGACTCAACACGTCAAACATCACCGGCTTTGCGACCACCCCCATCTAACAGCTCACGACTTCAGCCTTACTCCTTGAACCTTGTAGAAGGGGTTGCTGATAGATCAACAACACTCTACGAATGACTTGGCCCCTTCAAAGTGTGATCGAATCACCCCTACTTCAATTTTGAATTTGATGAAGAACAATTAAAATTCTGCTTCTCGGAATCTCTTAATCTTTAATTATACTCCAATCCCGATCAAATAGAGAATAACACTCCTAAATCTCTCGTGTTTACATTTGTGATCTCAAAAATAAAATTAGAAAAATCAAGTTTGATTTTCTGAATAAAAATATCTCTCAAAGTTGGCTCCCAAATTAATCAGAATTTCGTATGCAAAAAGCCGTCCAAACCCTAAGTGAGAAAACATGTATTTATAGACTTTTGAAAACATAATTGTACAAAGAAGACAAGTTAATTTTGTGCATAAATAATTTGGCAAAAGTCTAGCAAAAAAGAGAGAGCCAATATACACCAGGATTCAAAGTTGTCTTTCTGGTTTGCAAAAGTCGAACTGGTTCGCAAAAATAGAGCGCCAAAACAGACTAGGATTCAAAGTTACCTTTTTGGTCTGCAAAAGTTGAACCAGTTCAGAGACTCTAAACTGGTTCAAGTTGGCCAGAAGTGAAAGCTTCGAAATTATTATGAAAACTTTTAAAAGTTGAACCGGTTCAGAGACTCCCAATCGGTTCAAGTTGGGCGGAATAAAAATAAAAAAAACATTTATACTTAGAAACTTTTCCTAAATGCCTAATTTCGAAATCATGCAAGGGTCCTTACACACTCACTTATCTTCTTAATGTGTTGTTCTCATCATCACAAAGTGTATCGAAATATGGACACGGTCAAGCTTCAATTCTGCTTCCTATCTTAAGTCTTGAAAATCAAACAAAAAATTTACAACTCGATCAGACTTGTTTTGACAACGAAATTTGTCAAATTACAAATTTATATATCACAGTAATGATTGAGTATAGAAAAATGACATTTTTATATCTATTAGTATTTCACCCTGACGCCATTCCCGTAATCTTTGAACTTTTTTCTTTTTCCTTCTTGAAAAAGTGATTTTATGGACCTATTTGCCATTAGAATTCTGTACTGTGATGAATAATCACATTGAGAAAGAGATAAAGTTCATGGATATTCACATGTGATCAGAAAGAGAGATAAGCTGGTGGTAATGGAAAACCACATGCATGTACATATGATGGGTTTACAGGATAATAGTGAACTAAGGTAAGCTTTAGAAACAGATGATTGCTTGGTGAAGGAACATAATGCTGAAATTTTGAGGATAATTTTGTCCAAATATTTTATTATTTTAATATGGTGCAAATGTTCAAATTTCAACTGCCAAGTCATCACTGGGTTTCTGTTTTGGTCAAAACTTTATATCCAAATATCATTACTCATAAAAAATAATAATAATAAAAATAAAAGAAAAAACAATCCCAGTGTAAAAGGCTCTTGTCGTTGTCCGGGGAGAGGGTTAAATGTCCACGGTCTTAGCTCCACATGAAGAGGTTATTTTATGTATCAAACTCGTGACCAAATTAAAATTAGGAGAGGAACAACTTTACCATTGTGTCAAGGCATACCTAAACTCAAGAGTAAGACAAAAATATAATATATAATATATTAATTATATAGTATACCAAAGGAATTAAGACAACAGCATAACAACAGAAAATCATTCAGTATCCACTAGTTAAGCATTGCCATTCCTATTCTATCCAAATATCATTACTCTTAAAAAAATCTAGTCCAATGTACATTCGTCACACAACTTTAAAAGGTAGAGATTAAAGAAAAAAACATAAAAAGAATAAAAAAAAACTACCTCAGTGTACTAGGCTCGTCATTGCCGGGTCTGAAGATATATGTACACAATCTTAGCTACACGTGAAGAAGTTGTTTTCTGTTTTAAACTCATAACCATGAAACAACTTTACTATTGTGCCAAACCATGCGCTATGTCACAACCAAAGAGTAAAAAGTTTATACAACAAAAATATAATATATTATAGTAAAACAAACAACAAAATTCGAGAGAATTATTCAATATCCACTAGTCAAGCATTTTCCTATTTTTCTCCTTGACTCATACTCGCTCCTGAAAATACTTGCCTGATGGATATAAATCGCAACAGAAAGTGAAAATTCTTCTATTGTTCCGTACCCCTTTCCCACTCCAAAAGAGGGTGAATGAATAATTTAAGTATATAAGTTTTAAGCTTGAACCATACTGAAAGAATTATCCCCTTCTTTGAGTGAAAATAGGCTCTCCTTGAACCTATAAACTTGAAGGGCACTTTCTAGTCCATAATATCCAAGGTCCCTACTCTCTAGGGTGTTAATGTTGTACAAAATCATGCGTCCACTATTGGTTCTTATAAGAAGCTGGCGGTCATTGTCCCAAAAACCAATCGGCACTAGGACATCAAGAATAGGTCCCATGGTTAATTGTTTGGTCCAAAATCCCTCCTCCTTCATCGCCCATATTTCAATATAATTCTCAATTTCGTTTGGATGAAAAAGGATGATAGCAATAGAGTTATCATATAAGGCAAGTTCCCCAAATTTTGATTTGGGAATCTCAGACAGAGTTGGTAAGTCATAAAAATTCTCGTTAGTCAGGTCAAACGAAAGGATGCAATAATCATTGTAGTAATCTTCTACCAGCCAATAATAAACTCCATTCATGTAGGTGCTATTACCCAAAGAATTTCTTACAATACGCGACTGATCCCTTGGAATTTCAAAGAGTCGCCATGAATTTGTACATAAGTTATACACTAAAACAGTTTGGAGATCATAAGGCCCGTCTAAGTTATCATCCCAGAATTGTCGTAACCAAATCAACTTGTAATTGTTAGTCATGGGATCCACCCCAAATCCAAAATTACTAGTAGGGTCGGAGATATAGGATGGAAGGTTTAGACGAGGTAAAGAGATTGGTCTGAATTCTCTTATAGCAGGATTCCACAGACACATGCTATGCTCATTTCTATCATACAAACAATATATACCATTAATGGGACCAATAACAGAATCCGGATTAATTTCTATCCCGTGTTCATCAAGATTGTAATATAGAGGAGCCGTACTACCAAGATTTTCATCAGTTAATATGCCAATAGCATATCTGTAATCGGATTCGTAATGTTGAACAAGTAGACGGATGTTGTTTTTGTGGTGGTGTTTGGTGATAAAGCTAGAGGTTTTTATAAGAGCATACCAATAATGGCAAACACATCTGAATCTTAATAGTGATTTCACAGGCAACCTCGAAAGGATCTCTGTCAACACATCTTTCGACGCACCATTGTCACCATTGTTGCTCATCATTGTCTCTCTCTTCATTTTAGTCTAGATCAGTCTTTCACATTAAAATAATTAATTTGTAAAAGAAAAACGAAAAATAAAATTTTCTTTTTTCAAGAAAAAGAAAAATCTTTAAAAAAAAACAGGAAAAGGAGTAGTACGTCTTGGCGCATTTTGTCTCATCCACAAATATGCGCAAGACCAGTTACAGGTTTACAGGCAATTATATTTTGGGCATGAAACAATACACCATTAGATTAATATTCTCTAAATTTAGTAACAGCATGTTTTTACTTTGTCATAGCTGACTCAGCAGCTTTTTTTGTATGTAACTCAATACCTTATTTGTTTCTCTTTAGGATAAGTTTCATATCCCAAGTCGATCTAAAGGCTTTTTGATAATTTGCTTTGCTTGTTTTTTCATCACTCCATCATCAAAATTTTCAGATTCTCATTATTCGGATCCTTGGAATCTTTTGCATGAGACAAGGAAGAATTCTGGAAGTATCATCATTCAAAATAGTAACAATTAAAACAAGTGCAACATCATTATCACTAGATGAATCATTTAGCAGAATGAGAAGCATTTTCATTCCTTAGATTTTCGGACACGAAATTTGTTGTACAGTAGATTTTAATTACGTAACGTATTGAAATTGAGTTTCAATTGATTTTGCTTTTAAGGAGATGATGATAAATCTATATATATATATATATATATAGACACAGTATAATGTGAAGATTTCTAAGATTGTGGGTTTTAATAAAGGTAAAGTTATGAAACTGGATTTTAAGTGGTTTAAAAGATTAGAATGATTCCGTAATGACAGAGCAGAGAAATATTGCATTTTTATTTGTTTGAGTATTTCACACTGAAGCCATTTCCGGATTCTTTGACCTTTTTTACTTCTTCCTTCTTGAAAAAATGATTTTATGGACCTATTTGCCATTACAATTCTATACTGTGATGAATAATCACATTGAGAAAGAGATACGTTCATGGATATTCACATGCCATCAGAAACACAGATACGCTGGTGGTAATGGAAAACCACATATGATTGATCTATAGAATAATGGTGAACTAAGGTAAGCTTTAGAAACCAATGATTAGTTGGTGAAGGCGAGAGAATGCTGAAAATTTGAGAACAATTTTGTCCAATTACAATTTCATTGTGCTACAAATGGTTCAAATTTCAACTGCCAAGTCATTACTTGGTTTTCCTAAATAAAAAGCTAGTCTAGTAGACATTAAAAAAATAAGGATTAATTATATTGACACCACTTAAGATTATGTCAAATTTCACACAAATGGACATTTTGATTTTAATTTGCACTAACATTTTGAAGAGTTGATTCATATTTCACACACACCCCAAATGTCACTTTTTAAGGTGCTAGAGTACTTTTCACATATGTAAAATGACTATGCTACCTATTTGACTTCTTGTTGACTTATAAAAAAATGTGTTTTTTTAGGTACGAAATAACACAAGACCTGCTTGATTTATAATCCTAAAACAATTCTCAATAATTCAGAGAACAGAACTGTTCTCAGATAACAATGTAACAACCCTAATCTGATACCATTTAAAAAAAAAATTCGGCATGACTTCTGCTAAAAAAAGTCTTACACCAACCTGCTTAAATGCATAAAAATGCAATGGTCTCTATTGGACCTTCAAATTTTATCTAATCTGTCCCAACACACAATGCAAATAATATAAAACATTACCAAAACAACAACATCAACAACCTCCTCAAAATAGCCCATCATCATCATCACATTCATCCATAATAAAGGAGTACTTGTCTTATACATAGTCCTATGCTCACATACTAGAATTTTACTTCAATTACATCTACTTACAGTCCATGAATATAATTACAATAACAAGAGTCCATAAATCTCCGTACAGAATACAATATATTAAGTTTTACAAAAATAGTAAGACTTGGATACAAAAATAGCAAAATGATCTTCTAATCCAAATTAGGCATGTGGTGGAACGTCATCCGCCACTTCTTTCCCATATCCTAAAAAATGTTAAAATAATAGGGTGAGCATAAAGCTCAGTAGGACTAAGACACACCTCTTGTGACTCCGTCAATCCAAACAATGAATAGGGCAATAAGAAGCGGTGTCATGCTAAGCCGAGAAAAATATAATATCAATTTCAAGTTCAAAACAAGCAAATGTCATGCCATGAATGCAATGCCATGTATGTCACTCCCCATTTTCATAAACATTCATCGCTTTACAAACTATTAATATAACCTGTCCTTTGGTGACTCCGCAGCGACACGAGAGAATAATTGGCTACTGTCCCTAACCCTTGGTACCCCTGCGGCATCATTTGGGGCTCAGCTAGCTCAACCACGCTATGATGTTTACCCTAATTTCCTCTAGGTTACATTAACACACCGGTCCTTCGGTGACTCCGCGGCGACCAGGTTTTCTCAAAATTTCTCCCCAAAATTCCTTTTCATTTTCATATCAAAATACTTTCCCTTTTTCTTTCATGCCCAATGCTATGGATACATGATACATATTTTCCCAACATTATGAAAATAGAGGAAATTTAAGCTTCACAATTTAACATGCTTCTTCCTAGAAATTTCTAAGAAAATATCATAATCACCATGGCATGGAAATTAATATTTAGTCATGCTTCTCACATAATACCATCAACATATATAAGCATAGATTTTTTATTACAACAATTATATCATTTTAAGGAAATCAATTTAAATAAGGCATGTTTCTCATACTATTTAACAAATACACATATTTGTATGCTTTATATATACAATTAAGTCATTCAAGGGACAATCTACTCAAATTAATCATACTTGAAAACAATTAAAAGAGGGAAAATTCACGAAAGTACAAGAATATGAGAATTAGAGACCCTTACCTCAAAGAGGATGAAAAATCCCCAAAATGGGTCTTAAAACCGGAATCCCTAGAGTGCACTAAAACTGAAATTGCTTATATGAATGTGAAGATCTCGCCGTACTCTTCGAATTGCCGCAAACGGCTTCCAAAATTTCCAAGTATTGAGGAAGAAATCAAGGTTTGTAGCCTTGATAGAAAATGAAAAAGAAAAAGCAAATAAATGGGGTGAGAGAGACTAGCGGGGAAAGAGAGAAAAAAGAGATGAAATGTGAGACCTAAATGGCCTCTTGGCCAATTAAAGGGTGGTGGGTCCCACCACAAAAAATTTTCTTTTTTTTTTTTATTTTTTTTCTCATTTTACACCACACAAATATATATACACATATACACATATTAATTTACAACCACATAAAATACATTAAATAAAATGATTATAATGCATATGGACCCAAACAAAAATCTCGTACGCAACAATTCTGATAGCGGGTCCCACACGGATTCATCCGGCACGAAAACTGAAAAAAATGCAAAATGACAACCCTTACATTTCAAAGAGTTCGGAACTCAATGAAATGCCCCAACCAACTCACCGACACACCCAGTACACCCCACGGTATCCGATACAAAAAAATGTGAAAAGACGAAAATGCCCTTGCACCAACAAAAATTCTGGAAAAATGAAAAATGACAAAAATTGGAAACATCACAATCTACCCTCCTTAAAGAGATTTCGTCCTCAAAATCTACCCTCTTTATGAAGAAGACCCACAGCCACACAGTCTCCACTAAGAACACCTCACAAAACATCGAGACTATGAACCGACCGATATAATTGCCTTTGATACTGGACGTCACCAGGCAATCACATATCACTGCCACCAGAACCCAATGCGGTTGCCCATCTCTCCCTTCATCATAACACAAAACCAACTAGACCTTACACCTGACTCAAAACGGACATCAGTCTACTCTACACAGTCACAAAAGGCTCCAAAACCCGAGAATTAGGCAGTTATCAGACCACCGAAAAAGACAACATCTAACCTCAACACATCCTTAAAAGGACACACCAAACCCAAACAAGAAATCCTGTCTATCTCCCAATCAATCTCAACTCTAATCTACACATCCCTGGCAGACCAAACATTTGTTATCTAGTACGTAGTTACACCACCACATAACCATACCAACAACTACAAATCACACTGTATTACAATCATTGTACTTAACAACTTCAAGATGATTAAACAATGAGTCCCCCAATGACTACATAAACATTAATCGCCAAATTAGTAGAACGCATCATCCTGTACCCAGGACACAAATCCTTAAAGCAAGACCTTTAATAATCAAACGAATTAAACACTCGATCCCACCTAACACACCTCGTCACCCGAAACAACTCCCTAAAGTCACACCACCCCACTAACACAATGCCCAGCATCATACTCTCATTATTCGTGACAACTTGAAAACATCATCGACCTTTGACCCGATGTCGCGCTAAAGAAGGATTGATTCATGAGTAATGGTTGGCAAGACCATTCTCATCCTCGATCTGGTCTCAGCACAGACGTCGTTCCTATCCTCAGGTCTAAACCTCAAACACAGTCTCACACAATCTATAAAATAATCACGAAATCCACTCATTATCCATCCATCGTTCCACATAACCTCAGTAACTACACAGTCACATACCAGCTCTAAGAATCTCAATAATCCCTCAATCATGAAAAAAACAACACGGCACTAAACGTTAGAGTCATCAATTAGCACAAAAGATCCCTAATTTCCTCGTAACACCCATACCAGGTAAACAACTTATAACATTACTCGATTCAATTCTTACCTCGTCAAAACACACAACACGACCATCTCATGTCTAAAACCTCAAAACCAAAGTCCATCATTCTCATTATTCCTCAATGGAACCCCATAATCATTCTCTAGTTGCATAACATTCGACAATACCAACACCTGTCCTCAAAATACTGTTATAATCAATTACCTATAAAAACATCCAAATACATAAGTCATATCACATTACCTAATCATCCTCAATCTTTCATTCATGACAATTCCTTACCACCACCACCAGTACTAGACAATAAAAACATACAATCCCCATTCGACAACTCAT